CTTAGGGCCAACTGAAGCACCTGATGCTAGGGAGGCTACAAATTTCTGGAGTGGAATTTGGTCGGTTGATGAGACGCACAATGAGCAAGCTAGTTGGTTGGGAGAAGTGAGAAAAAGGATGAGTGGTGTGGAAAAGCAAAGGGAGGTGAGGATAAATGTTGAGGATGTTCATGCTGGTATACGAAAGATGGCAAATTGGAAGGCTCCAGGCTTAGATGGTGTGAGGGGATTTTGGTTCAAGAGGTTTAGGTCTTTACATGGGGTGATAGCACAGAGTTTACAGGGCTGTTTGACAAGTGGGCAGGTACCAGAGTGGATGGTGAAGGGTAGGACGGTCTTGATTCAGAAGGATCGCAACAAAGGAAAGGTGGCTAGCAACTACAGACCAATAGCATGCTTGCCATTGATGTGGAAGCTTTTAACTGGGATTTTGTCTGAGAAGATATATGAACATCTGAATGTGAATGAGTTGCTGCCAGATGAACAGAAGGGATGTAGGAAGGGATCACGTGGGACGAAAGATCAGTTACTGATTGACAAGGCTGTGTTGAGGGAGGCCAAAGTAAAGAAGAGGTGTTTAGCAATGGGTTGGATTGATTATCGGAAGGCGTATGACATGGTGCCACATTCATGGATTGTGGAGATGCTGAAGATGGTCAAGGTAGCTGATAATGTGAAGGGACTGCTATGTGGTAGTATGCAAGAGTGGAGAACTGTGTTAACGTCAAATGGAGAAGTGTTGGGTGAAGTGGACATCAAGCGTGGAATATTCCAGGGAGATTCGTTGTCTCCATTGCTGTTTGTTCTCGCTATGGTTCCCCTTACCATGTTGTTAAAAAGAGAGACCATTGGCTACAGGTTTGGTTCAGGACAGCAGATGATGAATCATCTACTGTTCATGGATGATTTGAAGTTGTATGGTAGGTCGGAGGAAGAACTGGAGAAGTTGGTTGACGTAGTTCATGTGTTTTCGAGGGATATTGGAATGGAGTTTGGGTTGGATAAGTGTGCTGTGTTGATCTTGAAACAAGGGAGCAAGGTGCACTGTGAAGGAATTTTATTACCTGATGGTAAGGAAATGAGTGAGATGGATGAGAGTGGGTATAAGTACTTGGGTGTGTTGGAAGGGGCTGATATTATGCAGAAAGAAATGAAGCAGAAGGTGAGAGATGAATACTTGAGGAGGGTGAAGCTTGTGGCAAAATCCAAGTTGTATGGTGGTAATTTGATCAAGGCAATCAATGCTTGGGCTGTTAGTGTGGTAAGGTATAGTGCAGGTATCTTGGACTGGAGTGATCGAGAGTTAAAGGAGATGGATGTAAAGACTAGAAAGAGGTTGACAATGTTTGGGACATTTCACAAGAAGGGGAGTGTTCCAAGATTGTACATGAAGAGGAAGCATGGTGGTAGGGGACTGATCAGTGTTGTTGATTGTGTGAGAGAAGAAGAGCTTGGTTTGTGTGGGTATGTGAAAGCCAGTGAAGAGTGGATGCTAAAGGTGGTTGGTGAGATGGTAGAAGTTGGTGAGACGAAGAAGGAGTATAAGAAGAGGGTACAGAAGGAGAGGAGGGAGAATTTTATGCAGAAGAGGCTTCACGGAAAGTTTATGAGAGATGTGAGTGAAGTGGCTGATGAGAGGTCATGGCAGTGGTTAAGAGCAGGGTATTTGGGAAAGGGCACTGAGGGGTTTGTGTTTGCAGCACAAGAACAGGCTTTGAGGACGAGGTTTTTCCGAGCCACGATCCAAAAGGAAGCTGTTGATCCAAAGTGCAGGGTTTGTGGTAAGGAGGTGGAGTCTGTGGGACATTTGGCGAGTGGTTGTAGTGGGCTAGCTCAAAAGGAATACAGGAGAAGGCATGATAGAATGGGCTTGAGGGTGTATTGGGAACTGTGTAGGAAGTATGGAGTGAAGTGTGCTGATGTTTGGTATAAGGAAGTACCCGATGAGGTAAGGGTGTCAGAGGATGGTCAGGTAGAGATTTGGTGGGACAGGGGCGTCGAGACAACACAGAAGATGGAACATAATCGTCCGGATGTTACTGTGTTGAATCGGGCGGCCCAGGAGTGGACGTTTGTTGATTTCTCGGTGCCTTGGGACAAGAACGTGGTGTTGAAGGAGGATGAAAAGGTTGCAAAGTATGCACCTTTGGCAAAGGAGATAAGGAAGATGCACCGGGTATCAACAAAGGTAGTTCCATTAGTTGTTGGTTGTCTTGGGGTTGTGTCGAGTAGGTTTGTGGGATACCTAAAAGTTTTGGGTATCCCAGATGTTCTGGGTGGTATGCAGACGTGTGCAGTGATTGGGACCACCCTCATTTTACAAAAGGTGCTTAGCGTCTAAGCTCCTGGATGGGGCCGACTCTAAGTTAAATTAACACCAGCAGTATGAATTATATCTCTACTCTGGTTGTCTGTTAAACAGAAATTCGTTATTATTATTATTATTTATAGAAAAATGGTAATGAACCAATCTAGAAGGCAAAGGATTCCACGCCTATATGTCATCTTGAGTTTTCAAGCTGCTGTACCTCTGATCCAAAATAATGCTTTACACATTTTTTGATTAATCTATTTCCAAGGTTGAACAGCCATAATCCTGTGGTTTGCGACTTCGGCATAAGCAAGTTGAAAGATGATTGCAGCACTGTGGCATCCATCAAACAAAATGCAGGCACTCTGGCCTATCAGCACCATGAAGGGCTGGACGGAAAAAAACCTACCACTGCTGTAGATGTGTACTCATTTGGGGTTGTGATGGGCGAAGTACTTACAAGAAAAAGGGCCTGGGATGGCATGAAGGCTCCCGAAGTAAGAAAGGCCATCTTGGCAGGGAAATTCCCAGAGTTTATAATTGCACCAGACAACACCTGTGCAATTGAAATAATCAAAAGCTGTCTGCAAAAGGCGGAGGAGAGGCCCCAATTTGGGGAGATTCTACCAAAATTAGAATCAATGTGTGATCCATCTCAAGTAAGTTTAGGCCTATCTCCAAGAGCACTATGTCGATATGACACAGCTTTGTATTTTGTTCATTCACTCTGACATTAATTTGATATATATTTTGATATTTCTATTTTGGCTATAAGGTTATATATATATACAACATACGAAAAAAGTTTATCATGTGACATGTAACAGTAAAATTTCGTGAGTTAAACATGAAAAACGTTTGTTAGTACCTAAATGTTAAGGAGATTACTGAAAAATTGTCTCCTGGTTTTACTTCATATTAGAAAAAGTGTGAACATGAATATCTTTTAAAAAAATGGTCACATGACCTAATTTCATAAATAACTCTCTTTGTTTATTGAGGACATGATCTCCGGGTACATTATTGAAAATCACCCTGAAAGGAACGAAATTGTTCATTTTGGAATATGTTTCTCAACCGCATTTTGAGTTATTCACAGGCCTTAAACATACTTAAGATTATTATATATGTGTATTTCAATTGAACTTATTAAAGATGATAATCAAGAGAATAGTAGGTGTTAACATGTTATATTATTTTTTTATATAACTGTAACGGTTATGTAGTTGCTATAGTTGCAATTATGTAGTTCAATAAATATTGAAAAGTATCAATAGTGAAAAAATGCCAACAAAGTTATTATTACTGGTATATAAAATTTAACAGACTTTTCACGAAGGACAATAAATGATATAGATAGCCCTATATTTCTTGGATGCAGTGTGTAACGTTTACAGAGGTGACAGCAGCCATGTTGAATGTTTCAAGTGTGTTCTTTCTTATGTACAAAATACTTTATTGGTCCAGACATTTAAAGGGGATGCCATTATGTGGTGGTGCAAAACCTTAGTCTATAGGACCGTGTTTTTTTATATTTTGCTTCATTATGATGTGCATTTCTTGTTGTAACATACAGCTTATTCCAACTCTACACTAAAAATTGAATAACCATAGTGTAATAAGCTTTCTTATAAAATGAACTTTCCATTTGAAATAATATATATTTTTTTTAATGTGATGTTATGGCGGCCATCTCAAATTCTGTTGTTTCTAGGAATACTTAGAGAAAATTGAACAGAAATTGTCATCAAAGTACTCAATAGCATTTATCATTACGGTATTTACTACTATAGTTTGGTACTGCACAAAGAATTGCAGCAAGTAGAAAGTAGCTACATTTATACGCACGACCAATAAATGTTATTGGAACAAAAGAACTTATAAAAGATTACTAGATATCATAACATTAAAAAGGGTCTAAAAACATATTTCTTCAACAATTGCGTGGAAAGGGCTCAAACTTCCTTAGATTATTACCAGTGAGTAGTACTCTCTTTTTATTTATGAACCTGGTTGCATTAAAACCCTCTTATTGGCTGAAATATGTGACCAGTTCTTCATAAATTCTTGAACAGGTTTCATTGTTGATTGTGCCATCCATTTGACTCATGTATGAATCCGCCTCTTCTTTAAATGACTCGGGAAGAAAGGAAAGTGCTTGGTCCAATTCATATTTGCCCTTTACAAAGGCAATATCCTCGTCCGAGATCTTTTTTAACATGTTTGTATGCCCTGAAAGGGAATTGGACAGAACTTGGTGTACAGTGAACTCAGGCTTTATAATCACACTGTTACTGTAAAATATACCACATTACAAACAAGTTTACCCAGTTTAAATAGACGCCTGGTATTGGCTTCGTTTTTCAATAGTTGTTTGAAGTTTTCTGTTGTTCTGGGTATTTGACAGAACAAAACTGAAACAGCAAGAGTTGTGCTGAATGTATATGCATAAGATATAAATCACGTACAAGTACCTGCTATTTCTGGGAATTCATACAAATCATTCGGAACTCCACCTGGACGATTTTTGCCTTATTTTGTGGCCATTCCAGTCCTTAATCATTTCTTTTGCCTCTTTTTCTAAAATAGGCATGTAGACATAGAGAAGGCATAACTTACAAATAATATTATTTGATTTTACATTCAACACAAAATAAGCTGGCCTCTTCTAAATGACATGGTGGTTAAATATACAGGATAATATAAAAATTAGGTAACACCTAATAGCGGAGCTCCAATAGCAATATAGAAGTTGAAAATGATTATCTGGTACTGCTATTTCAAAGGTAGATGCTTTGTTCTAAGGAATGTGAGCTACAACAGTTTTGTTGACATGCGAACAAATATTATAAAGAGTATGTTTATGAGAATTTAGTTCGTACTAAGTGTACTAATATTGACTTCGGTAGATTTTGTTCCGTTGGATGAAGTTTAAAATTATAATCTATAAAGGTCAATTGATTAAAAGTAAACTGAAAGCTTCTCAGCAAAAAGTAGTCTACATAAGCTTACAATAATCAACAATGTTTCAATAATCGATGTTTGAACCCGGACTACTCGAACTTCACATAATCACAGAAAACTGTATACAAAAATATATTTTTTACCYTCATTATCRAACTTCCGATAAATTATCGTTCAAAGGTCATCTTCAACAGAGCCATACTTGTTTCAAGCATAGGTTTCATCAATTTATTAAGTCATTCAAGACTGTAGATTCTTTGTTTTTAATTTCTCTCAATCTAACTGCTAGCATGGTCTTGGTTTCGAAATGTCCACGCTTTTAGTCGAAAAAAGAACTTCGCATAGATCCCTGCTTTTTCCCATATTGGTCCATATTATTGAAGTATTTCCAATAAAGTATCATCTCTTCGCATAGATCCCTGCTTTTTCCCATATTGGTCCATATTATTGAAGTATTTCCAATAAAGTATCATCTCTTTTTGATGTCGAAATATTAAAGTAAAATCCTTCTTTCTAATATCACTTTTAAGATGGGCCTAAATTGCTTTTCATCTTCGCAAATCGATTTCCCGGATGTGCGGACGCGTCGAAGTTATGACAAAATTGGCGGGAATATTTCTGTGTTGTTATTTCGCTCTTCAGTGGATTTTTTCCTTGTTATTAATTGTTCTAATATTATCAATATGTAATATAAATGTTTAAGGAAAAAA